GAAACTGAGGCTTAGAAGGGGAAGTGAGACCATATAGTAATGCCACATAGTAAGGTGGGGTGGGAGGGGCTGGGACTAAACCCTGAGTTCCCTGACTCCTGGTTCAGTGCTCAACCCACTAAGCCACACCCCAGATTTTCAGAAGCATCGGGACAAGTGCATCCCAGGAGGTAAGGACTTCCCAGCAACGTCCCCAGCCAGGCCAAAGCAAGCACACCATGCGGAAGTATCCCTGCATCCACCATAAGCAGCCGTCCCGACCTCCTTCAGCACAGATACAGCGTAAGCCTCCTCTACTGACACTGCAAGACACAAACCTCCAGCCCTTCTGACAGCCAACAAAACCAAGCAGAACCTCAGGGACAGGCCTGACCTCATCCAACACAACACCTTTGCCAAAGAGTGAGACACTAGCTATGCCGACTTCGTCCTCCAGCACACCAACCTGCTCAGAGTATCTTCTACTTTTTTCTCATCAAGGCCGCGACCTACCTGAGTTTGGGATCTTTTTGACCATTTGTACTAGAAAGTTTCTGCCCCTTGTTCATCTCCAGACTCAATCCCCTTCCCTGGCTGCTGAATTTCATGTGCCAGTGAGTCTTCCAGTGAAGCCTCAAGCAGGATCCCTTCTATCCCACCTCCTGGGACCTAATGACTCCTCCACCAACCTCAGGAGTTCAGGGGTATCTGCAAAATGCAGCCATCCTGCCACCTGAGCAGCAGATGTTTTGTGGGCCCAAGCTTGGGAACAGCACTCTCTCCACCTGTTCCCACCTGGTCTCTTGCGACTGCCCATTCCAAGTACCCAAAACTTCTTGGGAAGGAAGCGTTGACAAACAGCTAGCTAGGAGCAGTAGGCAGATGGAAACTGGTGTTGGAAGGCATTTTTCATTCAGGGGGAAGAGAGAACTGTGCAAAGAGTCTGAGGCAGGGTGGGTAAGATACCCCCCAGGCCTCCCATAAAAGCTCAGGACCATCGTCTGTAAGTGAGGAGACAGTGGGGAGATTACCTCGGTTACAGATACTGCAGAAGTTGCTGGGCCCCTCACTGTGCTTTTTCAGGTGATCTGCCATGTATGCTGCCCGCAAGTACTTCCCACACACCTGGCAGGGCACCTTGTCTTCATGACAGGCCAGGTGGGAGCGCAGACGGTCTCGGGTGGCAAAAGAGGCATTGCAGGTCTGAGGGCAGAAAAGAAAAAAACAGGATGAGGCAAAACCCACCATTCCAGTCAACTCCCCACCCGGCACACCATGAAGCAAAACCATCCTGGCCATCATGTGGGCCCCCTTTGCAGAGAGAGCTTTAGAGTCGGGCCCAGACTGTCTACCCAGAATGCCAAGTGGCTGCTCTTATTTCCAAAGATGGGACACCTGAGTTGAGATCATTGGTTCTAAATGGTTACCACACATATTTCAGAACATGGCAAGCTGAGTTCTACACTCCTCCAAGAAATGAGAAGAGTAAGGAATGTTCTTGTTCTGAAATATGAAGAATTGACTTTAGTAGCATTGGCTATAAGTGAATTTACAGATGAGCTACTGGCATATAAACAGGGCAGTCCTCCTGTTCTCTATCCTTAGGTTCTCTCTAGTTGCTTTATATAAAGATTTCAATTTATTCACTTTATTCAAAAGTGACGTTAGCCTTAGCCACAGGGAAATGGAAAGGAAAAGCAGGACAAAGCACAGAGATAACTCATCATGATATTCTCATGAGTTTGTACTGAAAAAGCAGCCTTCCAAATGATAGTGTCAATTCTGTTAACCTGAGAATTAGCAGAGAGAACGAAGGCCAGAGGCTTTTGGGAGCATTTGTGAAATGTTAAGTTGGGGAAGTGCTGGTACCAACAAGGATGCTGATGCTACCCTGCATTGACTGCGCACTCATTCTGGGCCAGGCGGGCATCAACTATGCTAAGCATTTTAGAGGCACTTAGCTCAAGCAATCCTTCTTTACAGCAGTCTGCTGAGAAGGCAGGCAGTGTTATCAGCCTCCGAGAGAGCATGGCCAGAGAAGGCTGTGGCGTGAGCACCCATTCACAGCCCGGCCCCAGGGCTGGACAGTTCAGGATCTGAGGTCAGCACCCTGGGAAGGCAACACCAGGTCACCAGGCATGTCCCATACCTGAGGACTGGACTTAGCATTGGTCATTGATCTCTCCAAACACCCCTTCCTCAGCTGGGGCTCGCAAAGGCACCTCAGCCTTGGGGTCACAGAATGTCAGGGAGGCCCTCAGGAGAATAATCTGGTGACTTTCATGCTGTACTGAGGTTCTAGTCAAGTTTGACACGTTTCTTTTTCTATTTGTGTGTTTACTTTTTTAAAGCTGCAAGAGAAAGTACCATTCACCTTTAAGTGAGTTACAGACCGAATGTTAACCCACTGAAGATGCGCCACCCTGTTAACTTGACGAATGGAGCTGCTCCTGCCGTCTGGTAAACAGAAGCAGATCCTGAGATCTCGAGGTAAGTGCCTGAACACTGTCACAATGAACAAATGTTTATCTCCTAACAGTACAGTCATAGTGAGAAATAAACACAGTGAGGCTGTGGGGGCAGAAGACACCACTGTTACTACCTGAGTCCAAAATGTCTGTGCTTTCTAAGTTTTTCTAAGTAAGTGTTACAAATTTGAATAGGACAATTTATACAGATGAAATACTGTTTTTACCCTTTTTATATGTTGAGTTTCTTTGTTTTATAAATGAGAAAGCTAAGTTTAGAAAGTCACTTGCCCAAAGCACACAGACTCAGCTACCAGAGGAAGCAGCAGGCTGTTACTCTGCCAATCATCCCAGATTTAGAGACGTGCAAACTGAGGCCCTGAGAGGCTATGGAGCAGCTAGAATGCAGACCAGCCTGTGCTCTTGCCATCTACAGCTTCAGTGGAGGTAGTTGCTTCAAGTGAGTGAAAAGTGCCAATACCTTTCAGCACTGTGTACTCCGTAGCCATTTCATCAGCAGCCATGCTTCTCCCAACAGGAGAAGGTGACAGGATCTGTGCAGGGAACTGTAGCACTAAGGTGACTCAGAAAGCATCATGGACCCTTGGTCTCATGGTCATAGGTGGGCCCCACCTCAAAGGCCTTGTGACCCAATCTCAGGCCACAGTGGGGGCAAGCAGAATCTTCCACCCAGTCCATCAGCCTGTGAACCAGAGCAAGGGCTGCCATAAATGCCCTCGGGAGAGAGGGGTACACTTGTTGATTAACCCACACGCAGAGCCGGCTTCACCCGCCAGTGACTGAGGACCACTCCTCCATCGGTCAGAGGTACCAGACATGGATCCAGTGTAAGAAAACAGACTAGGCACACATTCAGGATTCCTTTTCCGAAGTCCTGAGGAGAAGGGACTACTATAGGGATATGAAAGAGATGCCTTGTTACAGCCTTCTTTGGGGATCTGTCCTCAAAAGGCTTTGCCTGTCATGCTAAGCTATCTAAAGATGATGGACAGCCAAACTTCAATTATCCACAAGTGGATTATCCATCTGGGGGATTAGCTAAGCAGAATTAAAATCCCACACTGGGCTGGCTTCCCTACCCCTCCCATCGATTATCTTGCAAGGAATGAAAGCCAACTTTTGCCTGAGCAAACATAATTAGGGATGTAAATCTGCTGCTAGGAAAAAAACAAAACAAATCTTCACTGTGTTACAAAGCCAAACTGAAGTGACTGTTGGCTCCTCTGTGCCAGACTTGGCCCTCTGCTGCTGAAGTCCCCAAGACTTCCCGGGGAAATTGTGAACGCATGAGTCCAAGTCTAGGCTGCCAGAAGTTCAGATAACACAGGACATGAAAGAGCCTGGTCACCTGACCCAGGAGAGATAGGATAGAAAGAAAAGAGGCAGCTGAGAGACAGAACTCAGAGGGGACACCCAGAACTTCCAGGCTAGGGCCACTCGGGAGAAAAGCATCCCTGTCCTGGAGACAGAAGACAGAGCCCCTGCTGGGGGTAGAGTGAGCCAGTGGTGCACAAGGGGCTGCGCTGCTTCCCGCCCTGTGCCCAGGCGGCTATGCTGTTGCTGGATCATCACCTCTGATCACCACTCAACACTGAGCCCCCAGCCATGCTCCCTGCCCTCCCCTGCCACCTGCCCCATCCCAGACTTCCTAAAGGCTCAAGCACCTTGGGACTGGGGCCCTGCTGGTACGGGGACACTAGCGCACACTCCACTCTTGGAGGTGGTGGAAGTCTGGTGGCCTCAGGGGACTTCAGTAGCCTTTCCCACAGCCCTGGAGGTCCAGCTCCATGGGCTTTGCTGGGTTCCTTCTTCTTAAGGGTATCAGCTCCCTTCTTCCCACTTCATTCCTTCTCTAGTGAGTTGTCCCGCCAGTTAAAACCACCACACCAGCCCGAGAAGTGGAGCCCCTGGAAACAACAGGAGAGGTCTGAGCGGCTCCAGCCTCAGCTTCAGGCTGGGCTCCAAATGGGGGAGATGTCCCAGCCCACCGAACCCATAAACCTAGCCATACCTGGGGCATCTTGGCTGGGCCCGGCAAGGGAAGGAGACTCCAGCCCGAGGAGAGGCTGTACGTATGTCACTGCCCAGGCCCAGGATTCCTGCACCTCCATTCAGATGGCCTTTCACTCAAGCTGTGGCACCCGTCTGCATAACTGGCCCCTTTCACCCTCTGCGCTAATGTCCACGCAGCACCAGAGGGGCTGAGAGGTATGCCCATGCCCAGCTCTGCCAGTGGCCCCAGGAACCAACTCCCAGGGAGCCCTCTACCTCTGATGCTTTCAGAATACCACACCATGCAAAACAGATGCCACTTCTGTTTAACCAAGCCTAGGCACACCTGGCTGGCCAGCCCAGAGCAGAGAGCCAGCACATCTTTACCTCAGAGTGAAGCTCTGGCTACAGCGCTAGAGGTGAGCCTGCAGGTCTGTGAGTGTGCATTGGAGGTGGGGCAGAAGCAGGCTCGTACATCAAGGGACAGCGATGTCAGTGTTATGACACAGACCAAGGACAAAACACACAAAGCCTCAAATGTTAGAATGAAAACTTTTATCATCACTCCTCCCCGCGGAGCCTGCGGGGCTAAAGGGCACACCAGTGGGATCTGAGGATCTACATCTGTTTTATCAGCCCCATGTAAAGCTACTGGTTAGTCTAGTTCCTGAGCAGACCTGCTAATAAACCTCAAAATCACGAAAGTCTAATATACTAGCCAGAAATTAAAGCAGGACCCGTCTGAGTGGGTAGGGACAAGGGCAACATGGGTGACGCCACTGGAGTTGAATCACAATCTTCTCTGGAAGCCGATTTACTTCTGGGGGGTGGGGGATAGCCAGGCCCCATTCTAGAAACCCCATGCCTTACGGGAAGTGATGCCAGGGTCAGGGAGCAGATAAGCTGGTAGCTTAGTTCCCACAAAAGCACCAACCTTTAAAATCACCCAGGCAAGTACAGATGTCTAGGAGTATCATCTGTTAAAGGTGGGGAAAAAAGGCAAGAGAGCCCAGAAAGAAACCTAGAGGCTGTGGGAGGATCCAGGAAGGAGCTCCTCGCACCCCTATCTGGGAGCCCTGAGCTGGGAAAGACCTCAAGTCAACCAGGGAGGGACTGGGCATGGTGGGCAGGGACCACCCTGCTGGCCTCTCCCAAAGCAGGGGTCTCAAGCCAACCACCACTCCTGTTCCCCTCCACAGGAAGCCCTCTATGGGAAGGCCCAGACTAGCCTACAGGCCACTGGGCAAAGGCCCGGCCACCCTCTGGGGCGGTCCACCCCTGCCTCAGATATCCTGGTGGGGCTGGGCAGAAGAGAGGGTTGCTGGAGTGTGCTGGGCCCAGGTTTTCAAGGGCTGGAAATGATTTTTTTAGAGAAAGGGAAAAGGCGGTGTCAGGAACCGAATGGGACGACCTCCACAAAGCAGGCTGGGCAAAGTCCCATGATGGCAGGTCGCTAGGAAGAGGTTCCAGGGGCGGCAGGCCGCTGCTGCTCCCAACCCACACCTGGAAAAAGGGCAGAGAGTGCAGGTTACCCACCCAGGCCACTGGGCACACCCCCACTGCCCTCTGGGCTCCTCCTACTCTGCCTGGACTACGCAGCACACTATGTGGGAGAGTCAGAATGTGTGCCGCAATGGGAGAATCAGAGAGAGAGAAAAAGCAGCAAGGTGAAGACAGATCCCAGCACGCCCACCCCTGGGTCAGCCTCTGTCTTCTCATCCTCCTCTGGGGAGGCCGCCTGGCCTGGCATCTGTGAACACTGTCTTCACCTGGCCCCTGGGACTCTGCCCTACCTACAGCACATCCCTCCCTCCCAAAAGGTCTCCCTGAGCCCTCCCCTCTGGCCACCAAGGAGGTAAGGAGAAACTGGTCATCCTACCAGAGGCTGTCCTGAGCTCCCGACCACCTCCCTATTGTCTCCCCCTCAGATGGCAGGAACTTGGCACAGAAGAAGGGAGAGAACCAAGGAAAAGACAAAGGCGTGTTTTTCATCTGTACAGGAATGCTTAGTGGGTAAGAGAAGAAATTCAAGTGTCTGAGCACCAGCAGGGACTCCAAATATTGTTCAAGCAGACAAAGTAAGGGGGGAAGAGTCTGGCCTAGCCTTCCCTACCTGTTGCTGCACAGAGGAGACCTGGCAAGAAGAGAAGACCTTGCTCTCTGGTCCACCAGAAACGCTGGCTGTTTGTACACACAGCTAGGGATGGTTTAAACAGGTGCCAGTGCTCAGACTGGGCCCACCCCCACCCCTACCACCCTTTTGTGCCCTTAAGCTGAGGGAAGCCAGAAGGACCTCCAACTCAGGTCAGCCTGCCTGTCAGATGAGGGGAAGACAGTGACAACACAGAGTCGTTGGCCAGACCGCCAGGAGCCCTTTAGAAACCCTTCCCTCCAGTTATGGGTCCCTGCGAACTGCTGGGGAGCCAATGCCTCCAGGGCAACATGTGTGCAGTATGGCCCACCATCCAAGGAGCCGGCAAGGCAAACACCAGGAGAGGAAAGGCAAGCAACAGAGTGAAAACAGGGTGGGAACCAGGACCAAGCAACCAGGAACACTGTGGGGGTGGGTGGGCAGGAGCTGAGGGGGAGAACAAAGGATGAGAGCGGACGGAGGGACAGCGGGAGGTGTGCAAAGCGCTGGTCAATCAGCTGGCCACTGGCACGCACGGCGCCCGACACACGTCAGTTGCTCATAGCCGCAGCTGTAAGAACAGCAGCATTTTCCTTTAGCCCTTCTCTGCCCGGCCCGGCTCCTACCTGACACTTGTGAGGCCGCTCAGAAGTGTGCACCTGCTTGATATGTCCATTCAAGTGATCGGGCCTGGAAGAGAGAACCAAGAAAGACTTTAAACCTTGAAAGAGAAGGCCAGACTTGGCCAGAAGCTCCCCATCCCCAACACAAGCACACACTGCCGGGAGAGGACTCTCCCCACCCAGCTCTGGCTCCCACGGGCCCCACCAGGCCACTCTGCCCTGGTTTTCTCCAGGAGAGGAGGGGTGGAGGGAAATGAGCATTTGTCCCTGACCCTGCCTGTCTATCGCCTTCTCCCCAAACCAGAAACTCAGTGATTTCTGGGATCAGAAAAGTGGCATTAGAACAAGACAGGGTGGCCTTGCTGCAGCCTTTTCAGGAGGGGGTGTGTGTGATTCATTGTCCAGGACTAAAGCCCCTTAGAAACTCTGCGTTCCCCTCCCCCAGCCTCTCCAGCCACAGCAGCCAATGAATGCCACCCGGATGGAATTCAGCCCCCAGAGGCCATGAGATGGAGCTTAAGTCCCCAGCTGGGCTGGTAAACCAGATGCCCTCCCGGGCAGGTGGGCAGGGACTGCCTGACCGGTAGGACTGGTTCCTGGTTGGGGCCCCTCTGAGGGAGTTCCCCATCCCTAGGTTCACATATACAAGCTCCTCAGGATCCAGACAAGTTAAAACCAGCCTTTCATTCTGAGTATTTTCTGAGAGAAACCAAACAATCCTCTGCTCCCAAACAAGTCCTCAGTTCCCCACCAAGCTCACTAGAAAGTGAATCTAAAAAGAGATCCTGCTCCTCTTCCCCCTGCCCTGAGGACATAAAGGGGACCTGTGAGTTCAGTGAGGCTCTGGAGGCGCAGCGTCCCAGCAGGTAAAGATTTTGGCACTAAGAAGAGCCTCCGGGGGTTTCCTTGTGCCCTAATCCCAGGAGGCTGAGAAGTGAGGCTGGAATCTCTGTCCTGGCGGGCTTGGTGTGGCCAGAGTGAAGATGCACTTGTCCCAGTCCCTCCCTCGTCAGCCATTCATGCGGGGAGAGTAGCTGGAGAAGCCCAGCCTCCCGCCCCCAGAGAGGGCCCCACGCCTGGTGCCGGAAACACAAAGGGAGCCCAGGGAGAAGAATGGCGAGGCCTGGTGGCTGTGGCCTGAGGAATCTAGCCCTTTCCCACAGGCCCTGAGGAGGAGAGGCAGTGGGGGGCACGCCTAGTGCCAGAAGAACGTCCCTGAGGGAAGAGAAAGCAACTCTTGGCAACACCATCTCAAAATCAGAGCCCTTAAAACACTTTCCCCAAACCTGACATGACCCTGTAAAGTCAAGTGACCCCCAAAGTCCCACACCCCCAGATCTTGGCAAGGAGCTGCCCCACAAGTCAGGAAGACGCCAGGCCGTGGGCTGGGGCACCTTTCCTCACCTGGAGAAGCCTTTCCCACAGCTCTGGCAGATGTAGGGCTTGCCCACGGACCCATCATGGGACCGCACATGGTAGGACATGCGGTCTTTCCTCTTGAACCGAAGTCCACACACGGGGCAGGAATAGGGCTTCTCCCCAGAGTGGGAGAGCTTATGCCGGTTGAGATGGTACACGTCTCGGAAGATCTTGCCACAAATCTCACAGGCCACCTGCTTCCGGGTCCGGCTCCTCTTGCGGGGGCCGTCAGGATCCTCAGAGATGGGTAGCCCATTCTCGCCCAGCCTTGGAGGAGGAAGGTCGATGTAGCCCAGCTGGAGGCTGGTGACGCCGTGCTGGGCCTCGTGCTGCCGGAGCCGGTTGGCATCAGTGAACACCTTCCCACAAAGGCCACATGGAAGGATGCCTGCCTCTCTCAGGCCCCCTGGGGACCCGAACATTGAGTCCAGCAGGTTGGCCTTCCTTGGGCGGCCCCGGCCTCGCTTGCCAGTCAAGGGAGGGGCACTGGATGCCACATTGGGGAACGGGGAAGTCAGCAGTTGGGGAGACAAGGGTCCAGCCACCATGGGCAAGCGGTCCACCCCAGGTAACACAGGCAGAGAGGCTTGACTTGCAATGGCTGTACCTGCCGCCCGGGCCGCCTCCTCTTCCGGCTGCATGCTGCCGGCGATGCCATTGCTGTTGGCTGCCAAGGCTGCCCCATTGGTCATGTCCAAAGGGAAGCCCAAGTCCGAGGTCCCAGGGGGGCGGAAGAGCATGATGTCAGCCCGAGCTGGGGGCACCAGGATCTGCACGTTGGACTGTTTGATGACTTCCTGACAGATCTCGATGACTGACCTCATCAGCAGGAACTTGGCGGCCGTCATAAGCTCGGGGAAGCTCTCCAGGCGCACGACGATGCGGGAAGTGTAGGCAAAGTCCAGGATGTCCCCGAACACCTTGGAGCTGATGGTATGCATCTCCAGCTCCCGGCTGTCCCCGGCCCCGCCGCCTGGCCCCGCCGCCGCGCCCCCCACGTCGGCTGGACCGCCGTCCGCAGCTCCACCGTCGCCCAACTGGGCGCTGAACACTGACTCAAAGTACTCGCTGCAGGCGGCCAGCACGGCGCGGTGCGCTGGGAAGCTTTCGTCGCCCACCCGCAAGAGCACATCGCAGAAACGCCCGCCGTTTTTGCGCTGCTGGTTGAGGTTGTGTAGCATCTCGGTGCTGTGCCTGCTCACCTGGTAGGTGTAGCAGCCCGACGGACCGCAGGAAGCGTCGTTCACCCGCTCCATGGCCGCCACCCCCTCCCCACTAGCCGGGCCGCGGCACCTGCCCGCCCCCCTCCCTTCCCCGAGGCAGCAAGAAGCGGGGCGCAGCAGACGTGTCTACACTCTCCACACGTGCCGGCCCCGGGCTCTGCGGTCTCGCAGGTACGCCGAACGCACACGCCCCCTGCCCGGATAGGACTGTCTAGACGGTAGGGCGCACCACCCTCCACATTGCCGCCCCCAGCCTGGCTCGATCGCGTGCTCCTCTCTCCTCCCGGTCTGCCTGCCTCCCCTTCTCGATCTACCTTCCGTGGGGTACGCGAGCGAAGAGGTGGCGCCCCTCCTGCAAACGCACCTGCCACCTCCCCTCCTTCCCGCCAGGCGGCGCCGGCGCGCAGCCAAGAGGAGCGCGCGCGGGGAGGAGGAGGAGGGAGGAGGGGGAGGAGGAGGAGGAGGAGGAGGATGGGTCGGCAGCGCAGGCGCGCGCGCGCGCCGCGGCTTTTCCCGGGCCCGCTGGGGGCGCGCGCTGCGTCCCCTGCAAAGCGCGAGCCGGGGCGGAGGAAACAAAAGGCGAAGGCGGCGGCGGGGCGTGCGCGGGGACGGGGGCGCGAGTCGGTCCCGGAGCCCGGCGGGCAGTGGCGGCAGCAGCGGCTGGAGCGGGAGGGCGGGCGGCGGCGGGGTGGGCCCTTCCCCGGGCCGGGCGAAAGCGGCGGCGGAGCGGAGGCGCTGCGGCCCCGGGCTCCGTGTGTTCGGAGCGGAGGAAAGATGGCAGCGGCTGCACTTCCTCTTGCACTTTCACCCCTGGGGGGAGGAGAAGGAGGGGGCGATACCAACAACACCCCCCCCCCACCTCGCTTACAGAAAAAAAAGAACGGCGAGCTCGGCGTGGGGGCCCCCGGCGCCCCTGGCCCTGCACGTGCGCGCCCGGATCCCTGGCCCGGGCTGCCCCGCACGGCAAACTTTCCACTTTCTTTGTGCCGAGCGCCCCCCCCTTCACCCAGCCGAGGACGCACGTCCCCCCTTCCCTATTTATACAAACCCCCCCGCAGCTCACTCTCCCCCGCTTCCTGCCCCCCCTCTTCACTCCCCAGCTCCGCCAATGCTAGCGCAGGCTGAGCCCCCGTCCGCCCCCGCCTCCGCACCCCGCCCGCAGGGCTGGGGGCTGCAGTCCCAGCCCCCCCGGACCAATGCAAACGAAGCGCGGAGCCAGCAAACCAGCTCTCACTGCCCCTCCCCTCCCCGCCGAGAGTGGAGGCGAGCGGCCGGGAGGGGGTGGGGGTCGCAGATCCGGGTCCCCCACCCTGCGATGTGCACCCGGAGGCCGAGCGGGCGTCGGGCACCCCTCGGAGCCTCGTTTTGATGCTTGAGATCCCCAGAAGTCGCCTGCGACCGTCTCTCAGCTTGCAGCCTTGGAGAGGGTCCAGGGTCCTGGCCGGAGGCCGGCTCACCCTCCCAAGCTGCTTCACTCCGCGCTGAGCGAGTCGAAGGGGCTGCGTGCTCGGGAGAGCTGGGGAGAAGCAGCCAGCGTACAGCTTTTCCCCCAAACCACTGCACGCTGAGCTTTGTGCCTCGGGGAGCAGGAAGTCACCAGCTCAGGGAGGCGACTAGATACGGGCGAGGGCGATGGACAGGAGCAGGGACCCCCATGCGCCCAACAGCTCCCTAAGTGGGGGCACCGAGGGGCCAGGAGCACCCTCGGGCCTCCCCAGGTCGAGAGCATCCCCAGTGCCCGCAGCCCTGTGAGACGCCGAGCGCTCAGGCCCCGGGCCCCGCCAGCAGGCCTGGGCGCTTTGTCCCCCGCCGGCCTGGGGATGCTGCTGTGTGCGGGCTGGACGCCGCGGTTCGCCTGCCCGCAAAGCGCTGGCGGCCTGCGCTGGGCAGCCGGCTTGGAGCCCCGGGCTGCAGGCATCGCGTGTGCGAGCGGGAAGTTCCCACAGTTGCAAAGAGGGAGCGAACTGCGTGTTCCAAACTTTCCACGGTTCCAAACTGAGCGCTTCCATTAAGAGAAGCGGTGTGCGAGGAAAGGCATTCTGGGTATTAGCATGCAAATGAACAGCCCGGCTTCCAACGCTCCCGGGAACCCCAGCGCCGCGCGCCTAGCTTGGCGAGGCCACGGGCGCCCCGGGGCCTCCGGTCGTTGCGCCGCCGGAGGACTGGAGTTCGAATCCAAGACCGCCGCCTCTAGTTGTGTAGCCTAATGTCAGTTACTTGGCCTTTCTGAGCGTCAGTTAAACTGAGTCAGTTTCCTAACTTATGTCTCCACAGCGCTTATTTCTCGACAGGTTCTGCCTCCTTACACACCTCTGCCCTCTTTAGGGTATAATAGGTGTTAAATGCCCCTTGAAAAGAAACAGTGAGCCGTAAAGATCTGAGGAAAGTTCCCTGGACCAGGAGTCATATCTGTGTTCTAATAGCCCACATTCTGTGTGACCTCGGGCTAGCGCCTTAACCTCTCTGAGCCACAGTTTACACGGACAGATTCCGGGACCCAGCGATTTTTGTGTTGAGAGTGTTACTGGGAGCAGCTGCAAGGAATGAGGAAAGGGATCGACTCAACGGGCAATGGGTTATGTACACAATCCCTCCAATATAGATATGGATAGTCCCATTCTACCGCTGAAGAAACTGAGGAAGATGAGTGACTTGCTCAAGACCACACAGATAATCGTGGAGCCAGGATTCCAGTCCAGGAGACCAACTGTGCCCCTTTCTCACCGGTGGCTTGTGAAGCCCCGCAGTGCTCCACATGAACCAGAACTCCACCCTCAATCTGCCGTGTTTAGAAAACAGCTTAGGGCCATCATCCACAGTGCTCTGAGGAAAACAGGAAAGATGCATCAGCCCTGTTTTGCAGACAGGAAGACTGAGGCTCAGGGATCTTGAGTGAGTGGCCCAGGATCCCACCCTGGGGAAGGGGCCAGAGACAGGTTCAGACCCCAGCGCTAACCCACAGTCCATAGCTTTTTCCTGCATATCACTTTGGCAGTGATCTCTCAACTCCATCCATAAGAGGGCCCTCAGTCTTACCCGCTGTCTCTTGGTCTCCCAGATGTCCATTCTGTAACTCAGACTATAAGACCTGCTTGCAGAGCTCCTGTTTTTGTTTGTTAACTGAAGTGAAATTCACATAAATTAACTGTTTTGAAGTGTATAATTCAGTAGCATCGAGCACATTCACAACGTTGTGCAATCACTACCTCTATCAAGTTCCAAAACACCCCAAGAGAAAACTTCTTACCCATTAAGTAGTCACTCCCCATTCTCTACTCCCCACCAATCTGCTTTCTGTTTCTATGGGTTTACCTATTCTGGATAGTTAATATAAATGGAATCATACAATATGTGACCTTTTTGAGTCTGGCTTCTTTCACTGAGCATAACGTTTTCGAGGCTCATCTGTGTTGCAGCAGGTATCAGAACTTCATTCCTTTTTGTGTCTGAATAATCATTACATGTATAAACCACATTTTGTTTATCCATTCATTCGTTAATAAACCTTTGGGTTGTTTACACCTTTTGGTTATTGTGAATAGTGCTGCTATGAACATTCGTGTACAAGTATATGTTTGAGTATTTTCATTTCTTTTGGATATATACCTGGGAGTGGAATTGCTGGGTCATATGGTAATTCTATGTTTAACTTTTTGAGGAACCACCAAACTTTCCCGCAGAGGCTGCACCATTTTACATTCCCACCACACATGCCCTTTTATAAATAATTTTAGAGCTGGCCAAACCTCCCATTTTGATGAGCATGCTGAGGCCCAGAGAGTTTCAACAACTTGTCCTAGATCACACAACATGGTCCAGACTAGAACCAAGTGTTCCTGATTGCCTGCTCGATACCCCATTAAGTGCCTCCCACCTACCTTCTAAGACCCAAATAACCTGTCTGAGCATTTGTTGACTGATTTGACAAATCTGTCTGATGAATGACTAAGTTAATTATATTTATGAAGCTTCTTTTCCTTCAAATCCTGTTGAAAGAACCCTCACCCACCACGTTTCCAGTGTCCAGGTTGCACCTTGAAAAGATGCGGTGCTCACAGTCCCTGTATCTGCCTTCTGCTGCTGGCCTGGCGGGCCCTCTTCTGTTCCCATGGAAACCATGCACCTCGGTTTTGGCAGCTTACCAGCTGGACAGCCAGCTAGGATCATCTAGTCTCCCAGGCTAAATGGAGCTGTCGAGGTCATCATTCTTTCACTAGATCGATATTTATTGAGCACCTACTAAGCACCAGACATATTTTTAGATGCTGAGGATAGAGCAGTGAACAAGCTAGACCACAACCCCTGCCCTTATGGAGTTCACAGGCTAGGGGAGGAGACAGACAAAAACCGAGGAAACAAAAATGGTTTCTTCTGTCTTCCTCTTCCCACTTCAAATTCTCCTATTTTTCCACGCCCCTCTGAAATCCCACTTCCCCTGGAACATCCTGTCCATGAGCTCAGAACCAAATGATAGCTCCTTGATGCTCTTACTGTGCATTTGTTTATTTTTCTGATTGCAAAAGTGACATGTGCATTGCAGAAAATGTAGAAAATACGTGAAAGCACAAAGAAGAAAAAAAATAAAGATTTTCTATAATTCTACCAAGAGTTAAGCTCTGCCAACATTTTTCTCTCTTTACACATGTATAATTATTCCTTTTTAAACATAATTGGTTCTTATTTTACATACTCCTTCATACTCTTGTCTCATAAAAATATATTTTCCTTCCAACTCCTTTTGAAGCTCCCCGAGGGCAGGGACAGAGCATTGATAACGGTAGTAAATGTTTGTTGAGCAGAATGTTCCTTGGTTTACCTGCCTGATAGTTCCACACAACAACCTATGAGATAGCTACTCTGAAGATTCCTATTTTGCAGATGAGGAAACTGGGGCCTGGAAAGGGAAAGAGACAGCCCAAAGTGTACAAAGGGCAGAGCCTGCTCCTGGGGCTTTTCCTAGTAAGTAGGTTGCCAGGCTTCGCTGACTGATGGGCCATGAGCCAGGGACCTGATGAAAGGAGATGATGGGAGACAGCACGGGAGTGAGGTGCCCTAGTTTTTGCCAGAGAACAAGAAACCACCCCTCTCGCCTTTGTCAGGCTTGCGAAGGAGGAATGTGCAGCCAATCCACTTCCTTTGCTCACTCTCTAGTACTGGGCTGTATTTGGCTCCCTAATGACAATAGTAACAAGACCAATGGTTGAGCAGTCTTGGCACACTTCTCGGTGCAAGGACAGAGCTCAGACAAGAGTTCAGATTCTGGCTCTGCCCCTTGCTGGAAGTGTAGCTTTGGGTGCCAGGAGCTGATTTCGTCCTCACAGGTTTCCTCTGAGGACAAGATCCTTGCTCCCTGTTGACAGGTGGGGTAACCGAGGAGATGGGTGTTTCATCCAAGTCTGCACTAGGGAAGGGCAGGGTGCGAATGGAATCCAGGCCTCCTTGACTCCGGCAGCCAA